TGTGTGTGTGTGTGTGTGTGTGTGTGTGTGTGTGTGTGTGTGTGTGAGATTGTGCCAGGAGCAGGAATGTATAAGAAAGTTAATATTGGTATGTTCGGCATGGGGGACTTGGTTACAGGGAAATGAATATAAAGAGTGCTTGGTGAGGTATATTTTATTTTGTATAGGCTGGATTTTTTTTGTTTGTTTGTTTTGTGTGGATTTTGTTGTTATTGTTGTCTTCTCTCTCTCTCTCTCACACACACACAAACACACACACTGAATTTTAGTCATTTTCACTTTCCCATGCCCCTTTCTCATCCCCTTTTATCTCCCCCTCAAAACTTTTCTTAGTCTGACTTTTGGGACATGCAAATATATTAATTTAAATTTAAAAAAACAATTTAATGAAAAAAACTTTATGGTCATTTTAAGGCAGGGGTTGTGCACTCAAGATGCTATGGCTAGGAGTCTTCAGTGTGAACCTAAGCTCCCTAGCCAGACTATCTCAAAATTAAAAAGGGACTGGGAAGATGGCTCAGTGGTTAAGAATGTTTGAATCTCTTGCAGAAGACCCAGGTTCAGTCCCCAGCACCCACATGGCAACTTACAACTGGCTGCAACTCCAGTTCCAGAGGCTCTGACTCCCTCTTCTGGCTTCTGTGGGCACCAGGCACACACTCAGCTGCATAGTCCTACATTCAGGCAAATATCCACACACACAAAATAAAACTGCATAAACCCTTTAAAAACTATTAAAGATTCTTTCTTCTCCTCCTCCTCTTCATCCTCTTCCTCCTCCTCATTCTAAGGTACTGGTCTTTAATACCAGTACTCAGGAGGTAGAGGGCAGGCAGATCTCTGTTGCGTGAGACCTTGTCTCAAAATTAAATAAATAATTAATTGAAAAAAAATTTTTTTAATTAACATTTTCAGCAAATGGAAAAAGCTGTGGCTTCCATGAATTGCAGAGCTGTTGGGACTGGACTGTTTGGGTTTTTACAGAAAAAAAATTATTATTATTTTTTTCAGATAGTTAATTCTGCCTTGTAGCTCAGGCTTTTCTCAAAGTCTAGCCTCCTCCCCTTAGCCTCCTGAGTCCTACAATCACAAGTGGGGCGGCAGCTTTTCAAGAAGGTGGCGCTCACGCCACAGCAGTTGAACACCAGAGACATGTCAATTTCAAGTGTGTAGTTTTTTTAATCCTCGACTCTACAAGCTGTGAATTTGGCTCAGAAAATGAGTCATCACTGAAACAAGCCAAAGGTCTACCAGCAGTCTGTTGTTAATAGGAAGTCAGTTGCAGAACTGCAGAAACCGAAGCGTACAGGATTAGCTCTGCTGTTGAAGACTAGAAGAAGAAACCAAAAGTGAAAAGGACAGTATGATGTTGGGAATCTGAGAAACAATATACAAATTGCCCTAAAAGAAGACTCCCAGCCATCAAGTTAATGTAGACAGGATTTTCTAGTTTTTGCTCACCTCTTAGAACTCGCTGTGTAATATGTCCCCCATTCTCACCACACAATCAATATTCCCTCTCCTCCCCCACTGTAGAATGCCTGAGTTCAAGATTCTAATTCTGTTTTGACTCATTCTTTACCCTACCTTCATTGGGTTTTACAGAAAGAGCTAGGTTACTGCTTGGATCCTGGACTCAACTGTTTCGTTCTGGAGGCTTCCCGACAGCCACTGTTGGTGTACCTAAACCTCCGATAATGGCGTCAGATGGAAGTAAGACTGGGCGTTGTGAAGTGTAGAGTATGTGCCATGTGTTCACGTCTGTGGGGTGTCAGATTTGCCCCTTTACCTAGGAATAAAATTATTTAGGACAACCTATAGGGATCTAAGACATCAGACCCCACACAGGCCTTAGAGAACCCGGGGAAGTCGATTTTTTTACAATTAAGAATTGGGAAGAGCATCCTTGGAAATGAACCAAAGTATGTCAGAAGTAACACGCTGAATATTGGGATTGGATACCAATTGCCAATTTGATTGCCATGAAGAGGGACCTCTTTAACATCCCTGGGGGGGAAACAGAGTTTATGTCTATATGGGGTTGTGTTGGCAAGGTTTCAGGGAAGGCTCAAGATCCATGCATCCTCTGGCAACTAATGCCTGCTCTAGGACTTTGCCATGAGAAGGCAGGGCTGAGTCTCTTGATTTTGTGAGGGAAAGTAGCCTAAAAGTTGGAGGAGTGGGATTGGGCCAGGACAACAGCCTTACTCAGAAAGCCAAAACTCCTCAGGAGGGTTTTATTCACGTATGAGCCAGTGAACAGGGCTAGAGATTTTGCAAAACTGCTTGTGCCCAGGGCCTGATGGCTCCTATTAGCCACAGAGGTGGCTTCTTTTCAGTTCAGGCAGAAGGCTTTTCTTTCTTTTTCTTTCATTGTAATTTATTATGCACGTATCTGGAAGTTTGGGAGTCTAAGATCAAGGTTCCATCTAATTAGTGTTCTAAGGAGGGAACCTCCATGGAGGATTTCTGAGCATGTGCTCATTCTCTGTAAATATTTGATTATTAAAATTGAACTTGGGTCCTTGCTAGCCAAGCATTTTGTGAGCCACATCTGCAGTCCTCATTTCACTTTTTAGTTTGGGGCAAGGTCTCACAAAGTTGTTCAGGCTGCCCTTGAACTCCCTCTGTAACCCAGGCTGGCCTTAAACTTGTGGTCATCCGCCAGAGTGGTTGTATTTACAAACCTGCACATATTTTTAAGTAAATTTATTTATTTTTGTTAGGGGCAGTCTTTCTTGATTTTCAGGCTGGAGGAGACAGATCATCTTAGCCACAGTGAGATGCTCAGTTTTCTTTCCTGTTGTGGTGCTCAGACCTTAGGACCATTTCACTGTGTGCAGAACTTGGTGGTATAACCCAGCCCTCTGCTGTATGGTTCAGAAGAGTGTGAAGATTAGTTTGTTCCTATTTCACGACTCCTTTGTGGTCACGAAGTGGAGTCTGAGTGGTGCTGGTTTGTTAGTGGAATATTTTTTTTTTTAAGGGATAATAATAGCATGAAATTAGGCCAGTTGGGTTCTGTTTTTATCATTAAAGTCATGCGGGATACAGGCTCTGTTTAATGAAACACACATATGTGTGCTTATTCCCCTCTCCTGCACCCCCACTCTGCCTGACCAGCATTCAGCTAGCTGATTCCCTGCAGAAACTATGTGCTAGATCTCCTTCTTTGTTAGCTCCAGCTCAATGCTTTGTTCTTCGTGAGCCCTGAATTTCTAACATTAAGCAACAAGACTAGCCAGCGTGGTGGCTCACGCCTGTATTCTTAGCACTCGGGGAGGCAGAGGCAGGCAGATCTCTGTGAGTTTGAGTCTAGCCTAGTTTACAAAGTGAGTCCAGGACAGCCCAGACTACATAGAGAAACCCTGTCTTGATTAACCAAAGAAAAAGGAGGTGGAGGAGGAGAGAAAGAAGAGGAAGAAAGAAGAGAAGAGGGGAAGGGGGGAAGGGTAAGAGGAAGAAGAAGAAGAAGAAGAAGAAGAAGAAGAAGAAGAAGAAGAAGA